TAAAAGTAAAAAGTTAGAGGGAGTGGTGGCGCAGAGGCTAGACAGGGTGGGCATGTAACATCCACGCCTGCCTCCACCACCCTCATATGCCACACTCTGGGCCCATGAGCAAGGCCCCCACCACCCCCCCCCCCCCCCCCCCCCCCGCGTGTGCCTTAGATGGCAGCTCTCTGCCTCACATGTGAAATGGAAAAATGCAGATAATTAATTTTTCCACTGGGGATTAATAGCGTACGATAAATAATAATAATAAAACCCAAAGTCACTGTTTTATGGAGTTTTAAGAGGTTTTTTTTTTTTTTGGTTAAGAATCATCATAATTTTATGGGATTATCCTCTGGTTGCCTGGCAACAGCTAAAAGACAAGAAAACGTAAAAGAGATTTTAACCCCATAAAATGGTGAATGGCTTCATTTATTTAGTGGTTTTCCAAACAGATTAACCAAACATGACAGGAAGTGTTAGTTACAAAACTTCACAAGGGCCAGGAGGAGTTTTCTGTTTTATTTCCATTTCTGTGCACAGTCTGATGACCTTTTCACCGTGCCAGTTTGAAGGCAGAGGATTGTAGCATCATATTAAAGATAAAGACACGAGAGTGGTGTTGATATTTTCATCTAACTCAACTAAAGCGACTTTTTTTTTTCAAACACTTATTATTCAATTAGTTCCAGACAACTTGATGATTCCTCGCTGCTTTTATTCACTGATTCCCTCTGGGCTTTTTTTGTTGTTGTTCTTTCTTTCTCATTTCCAGCATGTTTACCCGGAGTGAGGAGGAAGACAGAGAGAATAACCAGAGACATCACGGCCAGGATCACCACCATGGCGATCCCGATGCCCTTCCAGTTCCGTGGGGGACCGTCTGTGCTCCCCAGGTCCTGATGATGAAGAGAAAACAAACACAGTGATGAATGAGAGCAGCGCTTAAAAGGAGGACATTAGTGCCGCTTCATTGCCACAGTCAGACAAATCGGTGCAGCGGGCCACAGGGGACTCAGACTTATCTACTGCCTGACTTAGACATCACCAAATTACACAACTTTTTAATTGGAGAAGAGCATAGAGCCATTGGTTTGGGGGAAGCTGTTTATAATTGAAGCAGCAATTATAGTTGCCCCATAGTTTTTGTTTCCCATTTACTGAAATCAGCTGCTGTACATCACCTGAGAGCCAGGGGCTAAAATCCAGAGGGGTAGGATGAACAGGATGATGAAAGTGCCCCTGAAATGTTAACTTACCATCTCCAAACAGGTTGGGATGTTAACAAAAATTAAATAAATCCAAACTGGAATAATTTGTAAATCAATTGACTGTTTTTGTTTAATTGAAAAATCACTGTTTGTTTTGAGATTGTGCAGGCAATTAAATGTACTTTAAGAATTTCATTTTAAAAGTGCAAAACTTTGAATGTTTTATTCAATTCAGTTCAAAAATACTTTATTAATCCCAGAGGGAAATTAAATGTTGTTGTAACGCATCATCCTGGTTTCATTAAAGAGTTGGTCTAGATGCTGATGGCTGTGGGCAAATACCATCTATCAACCAAATACAATGAAAAAAGAAAAGAAAATGTGGCGATGATCTTGATTCATCTATAATAAAAATACTTTAAAGGAATGTATATTGTTCACAGTCGTGCATGCTAGATAAAAAAAAAAAAGATCTTGTGTGAATTGCTGACAGTCGGAACATGTGATGAGTTGACTCCACTACCACCACACCAAGTTTCAGTAAAAATGACGGTCATTTTATTTGAGATATTTTATGTTTGTTATCCAACAAAGTTAAGTCAGGTCATCTGGACAGTTTCTTTTTTTGTGCTGAAACATTTCGCCTTCGATCCGGAAGACTTCATCAGTCAAGGAAACACACAACACAAAACTGATTCTTCCCCCAACAGCTAACTCCAAAGTGGAACAAACCAGTTATGTTGGTGCTAAGATGGTCTCTTTGTCACGCCCCCTCCTCCATTGCCAGCCCTCTTCCTTGTTGACAGTTGTGTCAAACTCGTGTCAACAAGGAAGAGGGCCGTCTTCCTTCGGCAGTTAGGTCTCAAGTCTTGGAACGAGCCTTCAACCAAACTCACCTGGCACTGTATGAATTGCAATCTGGACTTTTTTTGAAGAACCTTTTGGTGATGTCCTAGAGTTTGTGTCAACCTGTTCTACTGGTGATTGCGGAAGGAGCGGCAAATGTCCTCCAGTATGTTTTTTTACAACTCCTGCCTACTCCCGGCCGCCCTTAGTCATCTCTATAGATTTAGTGACTGGTCTTCCCTCTGCTGGAAACATAATCAGCCTGTAGACCAGTTCTTCAAGATGGTGTACTCCATTCTACTACCTAAACTCCTTACTGTCTTGGAAACCGCTCATTTATTGGTCCAGCATGTTTTTGAACTTCATGGCAATCCCCTTAATACAGTTTTTAATGATGGCCCACAGTTCACATCTCAGGTCTGGAAGACATTTTGCAATGGTCTCTAAGTCTCTGTCTGTGTGTCCTCTGGGTTCCACCCTCAGTCAAATAGACAAAACGAGCACCTCAACAAGAAACTTGAGTCTGTACTCAGATGTGTCATCAACAAACAGGTCAAACCAGGTCATGTATGTAAATTAGTTAACTAAAATATTAGTTAACTTCAACTCAAAGAGCTTTACTTAATCAGGATTAAATTAAAACCTGTATGAATTTGTAAATAAAGCAATAAAAACAGGAGGACTCACATATTAGGGCTTTAGAAAAAAAAAACACGTACTAGGAGACCTGGTCAATTATATGAATGTAAACACGGGGAACTGATGGAACGAGTCTGTATCAGTATCATTCACAATTAAACACGTTTGTGCCTTTCCCTGGCTGTACTCCACTCCCTCATAATGAGAGGCCGGCGTGTCTGCTGAAGTGTGAGAGCTTAATAACAGAGCGACAATAAAACTCTGCCGTCATTATGGCTGCCCTCCCCTTTGGCTTGACCCTCAAAACTTTCCCAATCTTGTTTGCCCTCCTCCAAACCTTGGCAAGGCGAGCAGCGGAAATACAAAATCTATGTGCTTCACTGGTCAACAGATTGCTGCATATCCGAGCTCCCTGGGTAGAACCAGCTGTCACTGGTTTGTGCTTTTAGTCACAATAGCGCCAACATCCACTTTTAATTCCTCAACACCTCCTCTGTGTAAGCACATGCTGTACCTCCTCTGATCATCTAACTTGAGGTAATAGAAAAACTGGCGATCTATATTACTGATGTCAAGATGTCAGGAAAAAAAATCATTTCAGTAAAGAAAAATTGATCAAACCTGCAGCATCTGGAGAGTCGAGATCATTGAACTGTAACTGGAAACACGTGTTTTCTCTGAGTTTCTATTCATCAGTGTCCATTTTTTGAAAAATGCTTTTCTATCAATGTCAGTAACATTTCTGGTGCTTTCAGGCCCCAGAGGGAAACAGGTTTTCTTTAACCCTGAGATGAGTGAGAGGCACTCAAGGTCTGCCAGCACAGAACTCCTGCCAAGATCTCATCTTTAATAGATCTACTCCACTGCAGTATCATAACACGTTGAAATTAAAACCACTACCAGCTACACCTGCGGGGACACCTTATAAGTGACGTTTGAACTTTGAGCATGGTCCAACGCTGGGTGATGGAGGTCCAAGAAAGGTCTGCTCAGTTTCTCTCTGTTGTTATGCCTTATCCTCTTTTTCTTCTCCTGCACCCTCAGCACACCCTCCCTCAGGGAAACTCTATTATCCCTCCATCAGATAAAGAAACCTACAGCTTGTGAAGGCGTTGATCCAACTTTAGGTTGTCAAACTGGGAATTCATGTTAAACCTAATTAACATTAGAGACTAGTTAAATGCTTGCAGTGAGTTCTCATGAACGGTGCGTCGTATGAACACAAAATGTATTATGGAGTAAAACTGAAACCGTGATCTCTTGCTGAACAGAGACAATTTAAATAAAATTACTTGCTTGACCGATTTCAATACGCAGTGTTATTATTTCCATGTCCTCCCTCAAATTATGTGAGCCTCCTCCTCCTCCTCAGGGGATGCCCAGCTACTATCATCCCCTCTGAGATGAGGCATTACTTCCAATTAAGGCCACATCATTGAAGAGGACAGATGAGGAGAGTCCCACATCTGGGGAAATGAGGAGTTTGGTCACTCTTGCAGATGAGGTACAGATGTGCTGTGCAGAATTCCCCCAAGTGCACGCAGAAGCTGTTTGTACCAACCATGCTGCTGGTCATGCTGCAGCAGAGCACAGGTGAACAGATGACATTGTGTAACAGACGAGCTTTATCTACGTCAGCTCCATGACAGACAAGCAGAAGTATCTGCTAGCAGAAAAAACGGATCTGCTAGCAGGTTTTCTCCTGAGCCAGATCAAAATGGATCTCTTCTCTCTCAGTGAGTTTTTCCTTTTATTCAGATAACATGAAGGAGATAAAAACGAGGTGTCAGACAAACAGCAATGTACGGTGGCCCAAAGGTGTAAATGAACAACATTTGAAAAAACAAAATTACATTTGAAAAAAAAAACACAACCAAAACACAACATTAGAAAAAACAGAATTCCATTAAGCCAAAGCAGAAGAGGCCAGAATCACATTTGAAAAAAACAGAATCACTTTTGAAAAAACAAAATCACATTTGAAAAAATGGAATTACATTAAGCCAAACTGGAAGTGGTGTTTTTTTTAGTATAATTTTAAAAACTTTATTAACAACAGCAAACAGAACAATGTACAGTACACACAAAACGGAGGTACAGTTAGCAGGCTAACCGTTGTTTCAAATGTAATTCCGTTTTTTTCAAAAGTGATTCTGTTTTTCAAATGTGAATCTGTTTTTTTTTCAAGTGATTCTGTTTTTTTCAAATGTGATTCCGTTTTTTTTCTTCAAAAGTGATTCTGTTTTTTTCAAATGTGATTCCGTTTTTTCAAATGTGATTCCGTTTTTTCAAATGTGATTCCGTTTTTTCAAATGTGATTCCGTATTTTCTAATGTGATTCTGTTTTTTTATTTCAAATGTGATTTCGTTTTTTCAAATGTAATTCCATTTTGTAAAATGTGATTCTGTTTTTTCAAATGTGATTCTGTTTTTTAAAATGTGATTCTGTATTTTCAAATGTGATTTTGTTTTTTAAAAACGTAATTCAGTTTTTTTCAAATGTGATTCCGGCTACTTTCACTTTGGCTTAATGTAATTCCGTTTTTTCAAATGCAATTCTGTTTTTTCAAATGTTTTTCATTCACACCTTAGGGCCACCGTAGTACGGTAAAGAGTGTGAGAATGCAAATGAAAACTCTTAATGTTGCTCAGATAAATCACCTGAAGACATCCCCAGCAGAGAAGTCTCCTTTTATATTTTTGGCCAACCATGCTGAACTGAACCAGCAGTGACAGAGCTCCTCCGCCGGCCGGCAGCGCTGCTGGGGGATTTTCACTCAACCAAATGAGGGAATCAATAAAGTGTACAGTTGTACAAGGTCCAAGGGGAAACAATTAATGGTGGAAATACAGCCATGCAGGAGCTTTTTAAATAGACACTTTCTGAACAGTTTTACAACCAAGACATCTTGACTGTGTCATCTGTGCCAATTTAAGGATCACCCTCGTTGAGCTCTTACTTTTTATTAAGCTGCTCACAAACAGATTCCTGCGAAATCTCAAAGGTGCGCACAAAATCAAACATTGTATTGACTGAGTTTGTACTGTGAAAAAAAAAAGCGAGTCACAGCAAACACAATTACTCTGTGTGCACAGAATGCAGCACAACTGGGTTGCGCAGGATCCAGGCAGTGCTTAAAATTCATAAATTAGCCTCAGGAGGCCTCCTTAACTCCATCTTCTGTGTATTTGAGGCGTCTTGTAATAAATCCCGTGAAGAGGAATGAGTGAACCAGCGCATGCTGTATTTGGATTTGCGTGCTTCTAAAGCCTTTTTGAACATGTTTATTGCACACGTGACACAGGCATCAAAGAACTATTGAAATAAAAAGGAAGAGATCTATCGGCAGGAACGTGAGGGGCTCAGTGTGACCTGTCGGCTTCAATAGTTCACTGGAACTGCTCGCAAGGGACAGATGCAGATTAGCGAGTAATCCCGATGCATTTTCTTGTCAATATCTGTCACTAAAAACAAACATCATCGTTAGAGCGTACGACTGACATAAACCAAACTGTTACGATTTAGATCTACACTGGTTGACCAAATTCAGAGGAACGTCCAAATTTTCTCCATTTGTGTTTCTTATGTTAAAGCAGTGGATGGTGTACTGTAGCCAGACCCGTTTTTATGTTTGGTAGCCCCCAGGCTCTGACCAAACAATGCAGCGAAAGCCTCGGTGAAATGAAAGACCAGCTACTTTAGCCTGCTGCTGCAAGGCTGCCCTGTCTTCTTTTCATGCTCCCCATCACACGCAAGAAAATTACATCACAAAAGGATCCTGCACTCAAAGCGGCCGAGTTTCTGCCGTGGGGAAACGAGCAGCAGGGGAGGAAAATGGATGGGGGGAGCTACGGGTGGCATGATATACAGTAAGAGTAAATATAAGATGGAGCTTTCTGTTCGGTTTTTTAGCACACTGTCTCCTCTGAGATAATTTATCTGTAAATAACATGTTTGAATCCACTCGGCTTCACTAGAACCAGAACAGTGAGAAGGTTTCAGCATCCAGCTGTGGCACTGGATTTGTGTGGACTTGACAATCTTTGTTTACCACCTAAATATGCACAACACGTCTAATAAGATAACTCCGGTGTGGCACATATTCCTGTTTGGAAGAGTTATTTACAGGTTGTGGTTTGACCTGACATGTCAGTTCATACATTTGGCACAAGCGACTCCCTCCTCTTGAAAATGAGAACATGATTAGTCTTTGATCATGTGCAGATCATTGATTCGTGATTTGAGCTGACATTTGCAGGTAAAAGGTTAACCCTCTGCGGTGGAGGAGACCGATGATGAAACAAACCCTTTCTGACGAGCAGATTTCATCACGTTCACGAAACACCGAGCTCAACCTGCGCAGCTCCACACGGACACAGTTCAGGTTCTCCAAACTGTGGAGCTCCAGCAGAGCAGATGTGTGACGACCTCCGACAACAACTCGTTGGCAAAGTGAGAGTTCATACGGCAAACAAAAAAGATCATTTCCTATTTTCTGGACAGGTACTGGAAAGTGTTTTTCAAAGAGAGTAGATTGCTGTCTAAAAAGTAGCCATCAAAATAAAAAACTAAATCTGACCTGCACAACATATTGAACATTTATCCATAATAAAATACCAATAAGCACATCAGGATTACATTTAATCACAGACACTAACTGTGTGCTAGAATCAGATGGAGCCACAGACATGAAGGACTCACTCCATGCGTTTATTGCAAAAAGCAACAATAAAAATTGAGTTATTCAAACATTAAGCTGCCCTCAACTAAAACATCATTAATCTGATTATTTCTAATATTATCTTAAATCACACTTAAAGCTGCAACATACGAGCCTGAAAGCTGCATATTCACACAAAAAAAGAAAATACAGCATAAAAAGCAACTCCGTTTATTAGAGGAGGCTTTACTGTTTTATAAATATTTTGAAACACGCACACACTCACACGCACGCACACGCACACACACACACACACACACACACACAATGTGCCATGTTTGATGAAAGCAGTTTGAAGTGAGAGGAAAAGAGAGAAGACATTGCTGCATAATCTTTATTCATTGACTGTACATCTTTGCAGCAGAGGTATAATCAATCATACAGTGCACGCTGCCCCTTTGTCAACGTGCACGTGCATGCTGGAGGGGACTGGCTGCTCGGACTAATTATCATCTTGGAGAATTGAGCTTTGTGTTCATGGTGCAGAGAAATGCTCCTCAGGTCTGCATGGGACAGCAGGGACAGGAGGGACAGGAGGAACAGCAGGGACATGAGGGACAGGAGGAACAGCAGGGACATGAGGGACAGGACAGCAAGGACAGCAGGGACAGGACAGGAGGGACAACAGGGACAGGAGGACCGACTGGACAAAGACTGGACCCGACCCGCAGCACAGTGCACACACTCCTTACTGACTGATTGAACAGGAGGGGGTGAAAAGTATCAAAAACCATCAGCTTTCCTCCCCCAGCGTTTCCATCAGAGGACCCACAGAAAGCCCCTCCAGACACCCCCACACATCTGCCCTGAGCAGCAGCGGGGGGAGGAAGAAGCAATAAAACAAAATAAAACGCTCACCAGCTCCGTGGTCATGTTCTGTTGAGTTGTGGCGATCATCGTGACCTGCAACAAGCTCTGTGCTTCCACAGGAGGACACAACAACCTGCCGAGATGCTGCTGCTGCTGCTGCTGCACTCTGCTTCCTGCTCCGCTTCTTGTAAGTTTGTCCTCAGCGGGCTGGTGGTGGTCCTCCTCCTCCTCCTCCTCCTCCCTCTCTTTCTCTCTCATTCACCTGCTGGGGAGAAGAAGAATCAACTTGAGACATCATCCACTCTGACAGAAATGAACCTTACAGGAAATGAGACGATGAGGAGCGATGCTGAACACCTGCTGAATTTAGCTGAAGACGCTGAAAGAGTTGTTGAAGCAAAAAGAAGCAAAATGCTAACTAAAGTCAAATAAAATAAAATAAAGCAAAATACATGCAAAATAAAGGTAGAAAAACACTAACTAAAATAGAAAAAAAAGCTAATTAAAAGCCAACTGAAGCAAATTACTAATTAAAGCCAAAAAATGAAAAGTACAAAATGCTAACTAAAAGTAGTGAAAGTGCTAGTTTAATGCTAAAGGAAATAAACCATAAGCTAAAAGTTGCAAAATAGTAGCTAAAGTAGGGTAACACAACTTAAAAGTTCATCAGGCTATGTAAACAAATACCAAACTAAAAAAAGCAGGACAATGGCTAACAGCTAAAAGTTTAGAAAAGTTAACTATGAACTAATATAAGTAAAATGCTAGCAAGAATTTGAAAAGAAAATTTCTACATAACAACTATAAATAAATGCTAAATTTTAGTAAAAAGCTGATAGAAGCAAAACACTTGCTAAAAGTCAGAAATTTCAAAATGGTAGCTACATTTAGCAAAATAGTAGCTAAAAGTAGTTAATTGCTAGTTAAAATCTAAAAGAACTAAAATACTTAAATTCTAAAAGTTGCAAAACGATAGCTAAAAGTTGGGAAACACTGGCAAAAAGTTCAAAAGATTAGCTAGAAGCTACAACAGACTAGCTAAATGTTAAAAGTAACTAGGGCTAGGTGAAAGCTAAATGTAGCAGAACAGCAGCTAAGAGTTGAGAATAGTTAACTAAATGCTAAACGAAGCTAAATGCTAGCTAAAGTTAAATAAAGCAAAATGCTACCTACAAACAAAAGATGGCAAAACACTAGCTAAATGTTAATTACGAGCCAGTAGAAACAAATTAGTAGTTAAAGCCAAAGGTTGAAAAGTAGCTACAAGTAGCAAAATGCTAACTAAAAGTTGTAAAAGTCCTAGTTAACGGCTTTAAATTTTAGGATCTAATATTAGTAAATGCAGTGATAAAGTACAATAGTATATGCTAAAGAAATAGGTTTACAAATGTTTATTGTACTTACAAGGTAGTAACTTGGTCTGAAATGTTTACTATAACAACTCTAGAGGAAATATATAGGTGAACAGATTTGGTTCACTATTTGGCAAGAAGCTGGTCAGTTTTGTCTCTGTCACCCTTAATTAATGCATAATAAACAATTATTAACGATTTATAAAGTGTTTATAGAGGAATTAATAATGTATCTATAAACTTTTATTAACCATCTATAAGGGGAGCCTTATTGTAAAGTGGTACCGATCAATGTTTTGTAGGAACTAAACAGTCCGTCGGGCAGCACGGTAGTGCAGTTGGTAGAGCTGCTGCCTCTCAGTGAGCAGGTTACCCTGGTTCAAATCCCGGTCCAGGGGCCTTTCTGGGTGAAGTTTGCATGTTCTCTCTGTACATGTGTGGATTTTCTCCGGGTACTCCGGTTTCCTCCCACAGACCAGAAACATGCATGTTAGGCTGATTGATAACTCTAAATTGTCCTTAGGTGTGAGTGAGAGAGTGAATGGTTGTTTGTCTCATTTGTCTCTATGTGTCCCTGTGATGGACTGGAGACATGTCATGGGTGTCCCCCCCTCTTGCACAATGACTGCTGGACATGGGCACCAGTGACCCCAGCGACCCAAAATGGAAGAAGCGGATAAAGATAATGGATGGATGAACAGTCCAGTCCATCCATCCATTATCTTTTGCGTGTTCTGGAGTCGGGTCTTGGGGGCAGCAGCTTGACCAGGGAGGTCCAGACATCTCTCTCCACAGCCACCTCTTCCAGCTCTTCTGGGAGGATTCCAAGGTGTTCCCAGACCAACCGAGAGACTCTCCAGCGTGTCCTGGGCCTTCCTCCCAGTCGGACATGCCCGAACCACCTCAACTGGCTCCTCTCAATGTTGAGGAGCAGCAGTTCTACTCCAAGTTCTACTCTGAGTCTCTTCTGGATAACTGAACTTCTCACCCTGTCTCTAAGGGAGAGTCCAGCTACCCTGCAGAGGAAACTCATTTCAACCTCCTGTATCCACGATCTCATTCTTTTGATCACTACCCAGAGTTCATGACCAGAGGTGAGGGTAGGAACGTAGACAGATCGGTAAACAGAGCTTTGCCTTACAGCTCAGCTCCCTTTTCACAACAGCGGACCGGCAGAGTCCACAATACTGCAGACGCTGCACCAATCTGTTTGTCAATCTCACGCTCCATTCTTCCATCACTCATGAACAAAACCCCGAGATACTTGAACTCCTCCATTTGAGGCAGAACCACGACCCGAAGAGAGTAATCCACCATTTTCTTGGGGATGTTGGGAAAACGGAACAGTTTTCATTCTATTTCTAAAAGTAGTGCCTATAAAAAGTCTTCACCCCTTGAATGTTTTATTATTTCTGTCATAAATCCTTCATGGTCTGCACAAACCTGTCCATATAAAAGTTTTTATAAAAACCTCTTCAATGTCAAAGAGAAATCAAACTTCTACAGAGTAATATCAAATGCATTAAAATATGTAATGTAAAATAATTGACTGTATAAATATTCACCCCCTTTAACGTGAGTATATTCAACTCAGAGAAAAGTTTTTTCAGAAGTACAAGTCAGGGATGGAGACAAAAGAACTTCCCCAGGAATAAAATCTGAGTAAGAATTCACAAAATATTATGTTTATAATATAAATGAAACGTCTATTTTGAACATGTGCTGACTTTCTTAAAGTTTAATTTAAATGTGTGTGGTTCGTGGAATATTTTTGCTAACGACAGACAAACATGCACACTCACATGGACACACACACACGCATAAGAGCAAAAAACATAGTTCGTCTTTGCCTTTTGGCAGCAGACAATGAAAATTGGGGGGGGGGGATGTTTTGCAGGAAATTAAAGCAGTTTACAAAACATTTTCATATCCATTAGTTTACACGTGCACATGCTGAATTTGTGTGTTTTTTCTGTCAGTGCTGTAATGTCAAGGTGGGCTTGAGGCCAAAAACCACACAAAACTGAACCATTTCCATTTTGCTCCTATCCAAAAACATGTCCTAAAGGACAACATTTGACCTTCCTGACTAACACAAGCAAGAACATGATAATGAAATATACGGTAAGTGTTCGCCCACCTAAAACTGATGAGGCAGCTGCTGCCAGTGAAACACGTGTGGCTGGTTGGAATGAGCAGAAGATGAAGGATATCCTCATGTGGCAGCCCCATCTTGTTCCTGGGGGCTCTGCAGGTAACCAGTGCACATGCAGCTCTTCATTCGGACGACCAGTCACAGCCTGGTACCTGCAAACTAGAATACATTCGGTAAATATGTACACCTCATAAGACAGCATTTCTAGCATTGGTCTTTCAAAAGAAACAAAGACAGAAGATGTGAATTTTTTCTAATCATGAATTTGATACAAGGTTTCTACCTGGTCCTGAGCAATAAACTGTCCAAATGAGGTTCACAGCTTTCTTGCATTCTTGTTTTCTCCCTCTGTGCAGGATTTCTGTCTGTTACAAGTTAGATGCAACTGTTTGAGTGAGAGTTTTATCATCGTACGTCTGTTCTGCCTGCTTGCTCTCAACAAAAGCGGACACTTTTCCCTCTCGCTCCTGCTTCCCTCCTGCTTTGCTCTCTGTCCTGTGAACCCTATCAAAGTCTCTCTTTACATATCTTCCGAATTGTAAATTATGGATATGGTCAGCTGGTCTCTCAACGCAGTTGACAAAATTTTCTCGACGAGAAGACAGGGCGAAGGAGAGCCCTCATGCCTTGAAGGGACGCTCGCAGCTGGATACACTGTGGATTCCTGGGGACGGTGGAAGATCATGTGCCTGTCTGTATTGTCCATTGAGGATGTAGAAGAAGTGTACATAATAGGATTTATGATAAAAGGATTTTTGCTTTTTGGAGTTGGCGGTTACCTGACATATGAACAAATACAGAAAATGCTGGAAGCTGTTCTGATCATTGTAATGCTGCCCGGCTTGTGTGATGGAATGTGCCGTGAACACTCAGACTCAGATGCTGTGCGAGTTAAGCCATAAGCTGGACGCGATTTCTGAGAATCGCAGGCCACTTGCAGCTCCTGAAACTCGCTGACGGGGAAGGAATCGACCTTGGAGAAGCTACAAGCTCGGCCCGGCGTTGCTGACCACAAAATTTGGCTGTTTGAAGTCACCATTGAGATGTACCAGTAGAACTATGAAGGCAGACAGAAATCAAGCAGAGTCAGCCTGACCCAAATAACTGTTGTTATCTGAATCTGGTTGCCCCGTGTCGGCTTTGAATTGGCCAACAATCTCAAACTCTCCTGGATGTTATGTGAACAAAAAGCTCTGCCCCCCACCCACCACCACCCCCACCACCACCACCACCCCAGCCCTCCCCTACCCACCCACTCCCTTCCCAAGGACATCTGTGGACCTGTGTCAGAGCTGAGTTGGCTGATAGACACTGCACCATCTCTTATCAGGACTATGAAACTATCTGGCAGTGTCCACGGACAAACTCACTGCCATGGTCGGCCTTCCTCATGCGTATATATTATGATGTCATCAGTATGTTGATGTTTCTGTGCTGAGTTTTTTTTTCAGCTTTCACACTGTGTCTCATCTAGGACACAATGTGAGATATGATTTTTTTATACCTCCCCTTTCCCCATGTTTCTCTTTTCCTATCTAACGAAAATGGCAGCACCTCTCATGAGGCCGCAGCCTCAGACACTCTATCTTCCCTTGTCTGTTGTTTATGTTTTACTCGGACAACATTACTCTGTTTGTGCCGGGGGACTGGATTTTTGGGATGAACCAGTCTTTGCCGTAATGTATTTTGGGGTTTAAAAGACTGGTTCAACCCAAAGATCCAGTCCCCCGGCACAAACAGAGTAATATTGTGTATGCTGTTCAGTATCAGGAGGGTGATCAGTCTTACATCAGGGAAACTAAACAGCCACTGGCCAAAACAATGGCCCAGCACAGAAGATCAACATCATCAGGCCAGGACTCTGTGGTCTACACTCATCTCCAGGCCAGCGGTCACTCATTCAGGGATGAAGATGTTCACATCCTGGATAGAAAGGAACGATGGTTTGAGAGAGGAGTAAAGGAGGCCATCTTTGTGAAAAGAAGTTGTCCATCATTAAACAGGGGTGGAGGCCTCCGGGTTCAACTGTCTCCCTCTTACAATGCTGTTATTGCTAGTATCACTCAGCCCTCTGTGAATAGTAAACAGCCATCAGTGTACTAATGATCCATTGTTAGGCTGATGGTCCTTCTTGACCATGTGATCAGCTGGTTTTGGTTGTCAGCAGCAAACTGGTTGATCCACTCTGAGAAGGTACTATTTATAAGACTGAGCTGAATACAGCACCTCAGACTGAGGAAGTCTTGCAGATGAAAGACGAAACGTTTCTACCTTTTTTTTTTTTTTTTTGCCTTTTGTTTTTTGAATGTCCAGAGGACCAGATTTAACTTTTTTTTTTTTTTTAGATTTTTTTAGATTCATACATGAAGCTACATTTTGGTAAACCCAGACACAAAAGCTCTAAAAAAGACTGCATTGTCTTTTATTTAACTTTAAGGCGGCTGTACTTATAAAGCTAAATTTGCCCCATTTCTGTAAATGTCATTGAACAACTTGTTCATTAACTTAGCTCTTACAATGCCTGTACGTGTCATCTAGCCGGTTAGATTACAATTTTTGTTCCCATTTAAATAAATACTTTGGGCTAACAGGGCACACATTTAAAACAAAGGTTTAAATGCAACCTTTTAAATAAAATCTCATGTCTCATCAATAAAATATCGCTATTTAAAGTCAAAACTCTTAATAAGAAAACTGGAGAAACTCCAAAACAACACAGATATGTGGCACTGCACAGGGAGCTGAGACACAGTCCATTCTACAACAGATTCTGCAGAGCCATACCAGCACAAACCCCCAACTAAGACATGCCCCCCCCCCCCCCCCCCACACCACCCCCCACCCAACACCTGCCCCCCCCCCCCCACCCCACACACACAATGACCGTAAATATGTATTAAAACAGTTGGTTTTACTTAAACAGTAATTGATTACAGGTCTTTGCTTCAGACCAGTTTCATTGGCATCACATGCATACTGGTTCTGACTCACTACATCTGAAACATGTTCTATTTAATCCTCTAATTTGCCTACAAACCCCATGCGGAGTCTGGTGATGCTGTCATCTGCTGCAGCGTGCTCAGCAGCGTACTGAGAATCACGTTTGTCTCATTATTCCAGTGTCTTCAGCAGCATTCTGCTGTGGAGCTGCTCAGAATGGGTGTCAGAGTATTTACTGCCTCCTGGGTGGCAGATTGTCTGATAGGCCTCTGTATGCCAAGATAGGGTGCATTGTATCTGGTGTGGTGAACAGCAGGCCTAAGTCATGCCACCAGCAGAGGCTCTCTGACAGCACTGCAGTGATAGCTGCATTAGACAGAGACCTGGTGGCCATCTGTGTGGAATGGTCCTGCAGAAATCATCTTTTCCTGAACATAAAGACCAAAAGGAGGGTTGTTAACTTCAGTAGGTTGTTAACAGCGACAAGTTCTTTTGTGTGTTTCTGAGCAATAATCAGTCTACTTTCTGAGACACCGTAAATGTTTTGTGTGTGACAAAATGCTTTATTTATTTATTTTACCAGTCTCTGCTGGCAGGTGCCATCTATGTGATCTGCTCAGGAAGCACCATGAAGATGAACCAGTGTGAGAGCCTACGTATAGATAATAATAACCAACTGACCAAGGAGTACAGGGTGCAGTGATGGTTATGAATCTTAACACGCCGTGATAGACAGCATCCAACATCTGCAAGCAGCTGGCAGGGGCATTCATGTAAATAAGATAAGATAGAACCTTATTGAAATAATGTCACCATCGTCAATGGCCAGTAGGAACCCAGTTTTACTTTCAGTTTCTTTATCAGGTTTTAGATATGTGGTTTAAAAGAGAGATATCAATCAATCAGTCTGTCTGTCTGTCTGTCTGTCTGTCCATCCGTCCATCCATCTACTGTATTTTGTTAATGACATGCACTGGACTGAATATGTATAAAATGTATAACAACAAAAAATATTAAATCGTGTCATCTGGACCAGTTTCTTTAAGGGAGAAATGTTTCGTCCCCCATCCAGAGGACTTCGTAAGTCTTTGGCCAGATCTGTCCCATAACCTTCATTGCTGTTTCAAGCCAACCTCCTGTGGGAGTCTCATGTGCATCTATTTGCATCAAATCTCATTTGCAAGTGTTAAAAAAACTACTTTTGAGATTCACACAGGAGGTGAAAAACAGCAATGAAGGCCACCTATGGGACAGATCTGGTTGGCAGGTCGTAGACTGAGCAAGTCCTCTGAATGAGGGACGAAACGTACGTTTGCCACTTAAAGAAACTGGTCCAGATGATATGATTTAACCTTTTTTTGTTGTTATCTACCTGGATGATTGAGTTTACAAACATTTTTTGTATAGTTGACAAGCAGACACTGTAAAACTTTAAGCTAAATGTTTAATGTTAATGAATATCAAACGAAAATTACCTTAACTGTTAGTGCTGGGTTATCTACAGCTCTACGGATAAATAGCACTTTTTAGACACAACCACAGCAGCAAAAATAAAGTGCAGTCATATTAATAAACACATAAACCAAGTTATTTGAATTTTCCACTAATAAAATTTCGAAGAAAAACCGTTTAACGTAACTTCCGGCTTTAGTTTGAAATTTTTAAACGGAAGTGTCTCCTTTTTTAATTCTTCCTTCTTGATGTTCTTATTTTATTCAGTTGTAAGATTATATTTTACATTTACCTTCTTAAAACGTGAGCCCCGTGCTTCTTTTTATTTTTTTCATGCCTGTGTTTTGGAAGCTTGTGCAGCGAGTGAGCTGTAGGTAATTTTATTTTGAAAATAAGTAATCGGAAGTTGTTACTGTCCGTTGTCTTGACACATGCGCAGTGTCCTTCGCTCATTGGCTAGCGGCGAAATTTGAAATGAAACGCGCTTAGTGGAGCCGCGTCTACGCAAGGATGAAGACGGAGACTGTATAAAAAACAAAGAGAAAAAGACCGTCGTATAATTAAACATTTCCGGAAAGCTTTATGATACATAATCTCACCAGGTAGGCAGCTAATTTTTGACAACGATGTTTGCTAACATAAAAAACAGTTGACGTAACTGGCGCGCTGCTGTTGTGCTCTAACGTTAGACGATCTGGTTAGCTAATGTTCAAATCAACAAGCTAAGGTTCGCATTTTAGCAAATACAGACGTACTGAATAAACTTTACTGAGAAGAGTACTAGTTTAATTTATTGGCACAAATGAAGTATACACAGCTAAAAAAAAAAGTGTTTTTTAATCTAAATGCTTGTGTTTATTTTTCGGAGGATCTTGTAGGACACCATGGGGACTGAAGTACTAAACCTCCAGAGCTTCTATGAAAAGCTGAGGACACAGGTTGACCTTCTCAATGAGAATATAGAACCCAGTGAGTGGCTTACAATTCATTGTCTCAAAATAAATGTTTTCAAATCTTGTTATAAAGGCTTTAATATGGTTTGAATCCTCTCTTACAGATTTCATTCAGATGGCACAAAACTTTGAAGACTGCCGTCGAAAGTGGCTGAGGACTGAGCAAGAGCTGGGATCTTGCAAGGAGAAGCTCACGAAAGCGGAGATGGAGAGGGGAGCCTTGGATGTCAAACTGAAACATGCTCGCAACCAAGTAGATGTGGAGATCAGGCGCAGACAGAAGGCTGAAGCTGACTATGAGACACTGGTGTGTTCAGTCAAGCGCCAAGCTTCTTTTTATTGGTTATTTTGGTGAGTCTTAATGTGCTCTACTTGCTACTTCTTAAAATACAGGAACGTCAAATTCAGCTGATCCGGGACCTCTTGACCAGTGAAGGATCCAGTAACAGCATCCAGCTGAGCGCAGAACAGCGTTCTGCTTTGGCCTTCCTTAGCGCAAACACTCAGGGGGCAACCAACGTGAATACCAGTCGAAGGTAGGAAACCCCAACTCAAAAACATACCGACATTTCTGAACTATTGAGCACACCTGAATATAAACCGCACCCACTAACTTTAAAAAGAAAAAACATATTTGTACATACAGTTTATAGGCCGTACTTATCTATAAGCCACAGGTGTCTACATTGTAAAATGAGATATTTACACAGAAACATTTTTTAAAACTTTTAATTAAATATGTACTGGTAATATACACAAATACATATAGTAAAGGCTTTTATTCTGAGCAGTGCCTGTAACATGGCTGGTTAAAAATAAAAATAAAATATCGGTACAGTAGCCTACAAGGAAAAGTCATTGAACGCTATCTTCATCTTCCTCCTGTGCACTAAAACCACTACAGTCGTCTTCTTCAGTGTCAGGATTGAACAACCTCAGAATTACTTCATCACACACGTCCTCAGTCTCTTTTGTCGTGGCTCTTAATGTCACTTTTGTCTCGAGGCAAATTTGCACTTGAGCTTGTGCTGTCCTCTTCATCACGCAGCAGTCCAGCCTTTCGAAACCTGTTGGTGATGGTGGATTTTTTTTGTCACTGCTCCACGCTGTCACATCCACTGGCAGGCATGAGCTAAAACTGCTCTTTGCATGCGGCCAGTTTTGAAAAACGATTTCTCGCCGCCAGTCATCCAAGCCTCCCACTGACCTCAGAATGCCACTTTAAATGAACGATTCAGACTGATGTTGAGTGGCTGCAAATACTTTGTTGTGCCCGCAGGGATCACATGTTTCACATGATCACAAGGCATGTTTTGAGCAGCTATGTAAGCGCCCGCGCATGTTTTGGCAGCATGAAGCTCATTAGCTCGTAAAAATCCAGAAACTGGTTGCATCATTGTACAAGCCGCAGTGTTCAAAGCATGCGAAAAAAGTAGCGGCGTATAGTCCAGAAATTACAGTAATCATCTTCTTTCAGCGGCAGCACGGTGGCGCAACTGGTAGAGCTGCTGCCTCTCAGTGAGCAGGTCCCTGGTTCAAACCCCGGTCCAGGGGCCTTTCTGGGTGGAGTTTGCATGTTCTCTCCGTGCATGTGTGGGTTTTCTCCGGGTACTCCAGTTTCCTCCCACAGACCAAAAACATGCATGTTAGGCTGATTGGTAACTCTAAATTGTCCCTAGGTGTGAGTGAGAGAGTGAATGGTTGTTTGTCTCGTGTGTCTCTATGTGGCCCTGTGATGGACTTGCGACCAGTCCAGGGTGTACCCCGCCCCTCGCACAGTGACTGCTGGACATGGGCACCAGCGACCCCCGTGACCCAAAATGGAATAAGCGGGTAAAGAAAATGGATGGATGGATGAATCTTCTTTCAGCTTTTCCCTCTTCAGGGGTCTCCACAGCAAGTCATCCTCTTCCACCTCACTCTGTCCTCACTCCATCTACCTCCATGTGTCCTCTCTAACTGCATCCATATGTCTTCTCTTTGTCTTTTTCCTGGCAGCTGCATTTCTAACATCTTTCTACCAATATACCCACTGTCCCTCCTCTGGACATGTCCAAACCACTGTCCCTCTGGACATGTCCAAACCACTGTCCCTCCTCTGGACATGTCCAAACCACTGTCCCTCCTCTGGACATGTCCAAATCACTGTCCCTCCTCTGGACATGTCCAAACCATCTCAGTCTGGCCTCTCTAACTTTATCTCCCAGTTGTTCAACCTGTGCTGTACCTCTGATGATCTCATTCCTAATCTTATCCATCCTTGTCTCTCCTAAGGAGAACCTCAACATCTTCATTTCTGCCACTTCCAGTTCTGTCTCCTGTCTTTTTGTCCATGTCTCTGTCTCCAGACCATACAACATAGCTGGTCTCACCACTGTCTTGTAAACTTTTCCTTTGACCTTTGCTGACACCTTTTTGTCACAAATCACTCCTGAAACTTTTCTCCATCCACTCCATCCTGCCTGGACTCTCTTCTTCACTTCTTTACCACACAGTGGACCCCAAGTCCTTGAAGTCCTGCACCTTTGTGACCTGTGCTCCTTGTAGCCTCACTGTTCCACCTGTCTCTCTAATTACTGTTGCTGTAGTAGTCCAGTCATCTGGAAGCTCTTTCTTACCACCCAGAGCCTTGAACTCCTCTCTGAACTCCTCACAACATTCTTCCTTCCTCAACTCCGTTTCTTCCTACATTCTTGATGTTCCTCTTCTCCATCTGTCTCCTGAGATATTTCCCTCCTCGTGGTCTTCGACTACTGTCTCACAATTCCTGCCAGCACCCTGTTTGTCAACAGCACCAGTGGCGGTCGTTGTTAACCCGGGCCTCGACCGGTCCGGCTTCACTTTGATGAACTCGCGCATTAGTTTTGGCTGAAGTGTTTTATGTCGGGTGCCTTCCTGACACAACTCTCACCATTTACTCAGGTTTGAGACCAGAACCAGAGACTGGCTTGTGCTCTCGAGTTGCTGGTTTAACTCAAAACCATAATACAAATATTTTTCTACGTGTTTAACCTTTTTAAGTTGTTGCTAACAGGGTGTATCTGAAAATGTGTGTGAATGAACTTTATTCTAACATTTTATTTGTTTTGTTTTTGCTCCTGACAGACTGATGACAATTGATGAGTCTGCCTCCATCTTGTCAGATATCAGCTATGACAAAACGGATGACTCTCTTGTAAGTGCTTCCCATTTCAACATTTTTGGGGACTAAAGTAAGATTGATGTACTTTTTAAAATGCATTTTAAAGATCTGGTTCTGGTGGTTTTGACCTCTGACAGGACTGGGACTCCTCCAATGTGCGGACCGTGAAACTCAAAAAACGAGAAAAAAGGGTTTGTTAATGTGCACAACATTTTGTAAGAACAGACAAGCGAAGAAATGACTTGATGTTCATTAGAGGTCATTGCTTTTGCCCATTTCAGCGCTCCTCAAGATATGCTGACGGTCCTCCAGCTCCTTCTAAAAGATCTCGATCAACCGGCAGAACTTCAGAAAAGGTGGTTAATTTGGCTCAATCTTCATTTTCTCATCACATTTATATTTTTTAATGTATGTCATTATTCAAAGGGCCCACAATGTCTCAAATTTTAAGCAGTTTAGGTGTAGCAAAATCTTTGTTTACTGCCACACGCTGAATCATTAGATGTATCTGTACAACTGATTAGCCTTTAGAGGCTAAACAAATTAGTGGTAGTAGCTGAGAGTCATTCACATCTCATACTTAAAGAGCTAACTAATCATCTGAGATCTGTTAAAACTTTGCCTGCAAGTCTTCTGTTAACAAAATGACTCCTGGACCTTCTGACAGGTTTTAACGAACCTCAGAATGTACCGTATGTTCTGCCGTACATGTTGCACCGCCCTGTAAGTCCGATCAGTCCAAATATGTCTAATAAAGTGGAAAAATCCATAAATATGTCGCTTCGCCGTATATGTTGCATCTATTATGTGTCACCGCTGACGCGTCGCGTTTTACGCATCACGTTACTACTACACCACTGACAACCTGGAAATGTGGGCCGGTGTTGTACCAAAAATCGATTGGCTGCCAAACGGCATCCGCTGGGGCGTGCACGGGAGGACCTTAACAAGAGTTTAACAAGATTAACACTTAAAAACATTTATTTGTTTGCTCGAAATTATAGTAAAGGTGTGTCTCAGTTGAACTTTTCTTTAATAAATGCACTTTGATGATCAAATCAGCTGCATTTTCAAAAGTCGATACGAGGAAGTAAGCGCATGCACGCGACAAGTCTGTGCAAATTTAACAAGATAGCCACCTAAAAATAATTATTTGTTTGCTCGAAATTATAATAAAGATGTTTCTCAGTTTAACTTTTACTTAATAAATGCAGTTTAATGGTCAAATTAGCTGCATTTCGTTGGGGCGGTGCAGCGAAATGAAGCTAGTTTGACGGTTGCTCCAAGCAGTGAACAGAATGAGGGTGGGGTGTATGGCAAGCCGATTGTGTCATTAATAGCTGGTGGAGAGTCTCAGTCATCCAGGACATGGCAAATTCAAAAAAGTTCAAGAAAAAAATAATAAAGTATGATAAATAAAGTCCAGTTGTTTTTGTTTTGAACTTTTTTGAATTGTAATTATAGCCACGTTTGCCTATTACATCAGCGATCCTCACTTTTTTTTTTCTTTTTTTTTTCAAAATAGCCATATTGACAGATCAAAGTCAAGGGGAGAGTCGCGATATCACCCCAAGTCACTCAAACAAAAGAATAAAATTAAACAACCCCCCCTATGAACAAAAAAGAGACACAGCCAGCACATTATCTGCTTAAACAAAATGTATTTTAGTACTGAGATGACAAGCTGTGGTGCATGTCTGACTTTCTTCATTGTATTTGTAATTTGTAGTTGCAGCCACAGTGAGACATTCAAGATGGGCATGGGTCAGTCGGTTTCTCTGTTTTCATTTGACAGTGTTCGTGGTTGAAAATGTTGACTCACAGGTGTAAAAATTCATCTTTTAGCTATTACCCCAATCCCATGAAGAAAACACAAGTCAACAATAACAATGAATACCAAAGTCCATGCTCAACAAAGAATATGCCGCCTGCCCCCTCATGTAACCATGCCTAGAACCGGCCCTGTAAGATGCTCCTACTTCCTTCACTACAGATGACAGCAGGTTCAGAGACGCGTGCGGCCGGTAGCTGATCCATCTGCGATTAACAGGACAGGGTTTTTTATGTCTTTTTACCCACGGCGGGTCAGTGAACGCGCGCAGCCGGTGATGATTAGCTGATCCATCTGAGATTAACAGCGTTTTTTGTCTTTTGACCGGCGGGTCAGGGGACACATGTGACCGATGATGATCAGCTGATCCATCTGAAGCTTAACAGGACTTTTTTTTTTTACTTCTACTGGCCGGTCGGACCTGCCTCCTCCTCAACAAGTAGATTAACACAATGAGTATCCCTGTATTACATGATACAATGGCATGCCCTACAACTCTGGTGCCATCTAGTGGCTAAAAATGGTAGTGTTAAAAAAAATTTAAGCCAGAATGAATGAAAATGGTCATATTTCAGCCAAAATTTGGTTTATAAATATGGGGGGAAATCCATAAATACGTCGCTTCGGCCTTTAAGTCGCAGGGATGTAAATTATGCAACAACAAAAAAATGCGACTTATACAACAAAAAATACAGTAGTCATTGGATGACAATGTACATGTACAACTGATTAACTTTTAGTCACCCCAAATGACTGCCATCACAGCTCATTGACTTTAGACAACTAATCACCCTTTGTCAATACAAAAGTTGTCTACAGCTCAGTCAGTTTTACAAATATTGAGCAAGAATTTTATGTGATAGCTGCAAATCGACACTGACAGGGTTTGACCAAAACAGCTAAAATCTAGTCTTTTCTCATCATAAGATCTCAGTTTAAAACTCTGGTATGAAAGGCCATTGTGTATTCCTTTAAATGTTGCTAGCCCTTTTATTCTGACTTTTTTATTTTAATTAATGTGTATAGGGAAATGAGACCCTCGTGACAAAGACAACAGTGACTGTTCCTACGAATGGAGGACCTGTTGAGGCCGTTTCCACTATTGAAACGATTCCTTACTGGACTCGCAGCAGGAGAAAGACTGGTACAGTTTCTCTTAGTCTGTGTACATGATATTCTTGTTTTTTAAGAACATTTTACTTTAACACAATACTACTTGTATTATTTTAAAATGATCAATATAGTTAAGGTTTGCAAAATTTGGGCTAGAAATGCTGGTGCTGCTAGGTTTTTGTCCTTTGCTGTGAAGTTGGGTTTACCTTTGTGAAACATATAAATATGTTATATTATGATACATTTTATATTTTTTCTACTCTCACAAGGCAGTAACTGGTTTAACAAGTTAAAATCTCACCATTAAACCTTATCCTTATTGGCCGTGCTACCATAGTATTTGCTACTGCATCTAACCTAAACATAATTTTATTTATTGTTATTCATAATCTATTGTTTTTTTTCCTGCTTGTCTGACTCTGTTAGTGAGAACTAATATTGTATAATATAAGAAAAAAGTGATTTCTAAAAAAAATCTAAGCATTGCTCAAAAACTTGCAAAAATATTTTTAGTTCCTCCACAGATTTTTGTTAACAAAAAACATAATAGAAATCTGAGAGCTTAACTTTTTATTAAGATTAACAAGGTTGAGGCAGGTCCTCTGGACGGATTCTTCTCTGTTGAAACGTTTCGTCTTTGATCCTAAAGAAGTTCACACGATAAAGGAGGAGCATCAGCCTAACGACTGATCGTAAGTTCCCTGATGGCTGTTTACTATTCACAGGAGTGATACTAGCAATAACAGCATTGTAAGAAGGGGACGGTTGAACACGGAGGTCTCCACCCCTGTTTAATGGTGGTTTCTTTTCACAAAGATGGCCTCCTTCACTCCTCTCTCGTCGTTCTTCTCTATCCAGGATGTGCACATCTTCATCCCTGAAATAGTGACCGCTGGCCTGGAGATGAGTGTAGACCGCAGAGTCCTGGCCTGATGATGTTGATCTTCTGTGCTGGTCCATCCTTTTGGCCAGTGGCTGTTTAGTTTCCCCGATGTAAGACTGATCACCCTCCTGACACTGAACAGCATACACAATATTACTCTGTGCCGGGGACTGGATCTTTGTGGTGAACCAGTCTTTTGAACCCATGTAATCTTTTGAATACATGATGTCAAAGACAGGTCCATCATTAAACAGGGCCGGAGGCCTCTGTGTTCAACTGTCCCCCTCTTACAATGCTGTTATTGCTAGTATCACTCAGCCCCCTGTGAATAGTAAACAGCCATCAGAGCATTAATGATCGTTCATTAGGCTGATGGTCCTCCATCATGTGAGCAGCAAGTTCTGAAAGATCCACTATGAGAAGGTGCTGTTTATAAGACTGAGTTCGTTGCAGCTCCTCAGACTGAACAAGTCTTTTGGATAAAAGACGAGACATTTCAACAGAAGAACCCGTCCAGAGGACCTGACTTAACCATTTTAGATATATCTACTTGGATTATTGAGCACGCATCAGGACATTTTTATTAAGATTGGTCAATGGTATTAGTAACTGAAACGATCCTAATTGTAGGTGAACTTTTCCTTAAGCGGAAGTAAAATGCTTTACTTCTGTTTGCCACATTTAGATCAGTATGGTTGATTTAAAAAAGTATTTGTTTGACAAATGGGTTTTATTTACCATCTCCTCTGTTCAGGTGCTATGGAGTGGGACTCTGAATCGGTCCAGTCTCAGGATGTTTTCAAGCCACCTGAAAACCCAGAGGGACAGACGAAAGCTGGGGCCAGCACTCCACAGAGCAAAGGGGGTGTTCGTCTGCACGAGTTCGTCTCCAAAACTGTGAGTGTCTCTGCACTCCATTGTCTGTTGTAAAGAAGCTTTTCAGGTGGTTAGAAGTCTGATCCTGGTTGTCAGCGTTAGTATTTTCTCTGTGACAAAAGTTCATGCTCAATCATCCAGGAAAGAAGATGGACCAAATGTATTTTTAGAAGAAGATCATTCCAAATGTATTGTTTTCCTCTATGAAATTTTTCCAGCTCCACTTTTAAAAATGTCCTTTGCTCGTTTATGATCAGGTTTATTTATTTATTTATTTTTGATCTAGGTAATTAAGCCTGAATCGTGTGTGCCATGTGGAAAGAGGATAAAGTTTGGCAAGATTTCACTGAAATGTCGTGACTGTAAGGTGGTCTCTCACCCTGAATGTCGTGAACGGTGCCCTCTGCCGTGCATCCCCAACCTGGGTGGAACCCCTGTCAGGATCGGGGAGGTATGAGGTCACGTCTGATGCCTCGTCAAGGTTCACGTGGACGTCTGTTTACCTAGTTTCACCTTTGTCTCCTCAGGGTGTCCTTGCAGACTACGTCCCAGACACATCCCCGATGATCCCCCCCCTCGTGGTCCACTGTGTGAACGAGATTGAACAAAGAGGTCTGCACGAGGTGAGTGGTTCTTCTCTGTACTAGAACTGTAGAAATATAAAGAACAGGGAAGCCTCAGGTCGTTTTTATGTCTTCCCTCAAAGTGAGACCAGAGGGTTGTAGTTCCTGTGGAGTTCAATTTAGAACTGTTGTAGAAAAACTCCTCATTTGATTTCTGTGGGGCTTTGCAGCGTTTGTCTTCTTTTTCTTTCTCTTTTTGTTGTTGTGAAAGTTGCTCCTGTCTTCTTAAACTTGACCTCATATTATACTCATTATTATATTTAAATGCTAGTTGTTGGAAAATAATTGCTTTTTTTCAGCTGAAGATAATTTCCTAGTGTTGATGTTGGTTACATGTTATAAAGGTTTTGTCTTTGTAGCTCCTGACCTGATTTATCAAGTTTAGTTTGAAGATGACAAGTTAGAACTGAAGCTTTGTTGGCAGATTGAAGTTTTGTCAGAAATCTTTTTATTCGTTTAGTGATTGTTTAGTCTGTTTGTCAAAGACTGAATAAAATAAAAAAACATGGAGTCTAGATGATTGCGATGTTTTAAACAACGTTTACTTAAAGCAATCTCCTCAAACAGAAACTAAAGGGGTCTGGCTCCAACAAACAAAAGAACCAGCCATGGGACACTTCCCCAAACTTATGATCCACAAAACTAAACCTGGAACCAAAACTGAAAGCACGACTGCTAGTATCTCATATCTACTAATAATTATTTTATTATGCTGCACAAAGCAGCAACATGGCAGAAGGTCTGTAGTCAAAGGAGGAGCGGGAGCACAAAACCAGATCAACAACCAATAAGATGTCGATCTTTGATCCCAGAGGGCGGAGCTTCTTTCTTTAAATGAGCTCTGGAAAGAGAAGATGTGTTTACAATAGCACTTATATTTAGCAAATATTAGATTATGTTTTATCATTTTAAGACATGGAAGTGAAGTCAGCACAATATTTTTGCTTATTTTTCCACATTTCTTTTGATTTTTTTCCTCCCTAATTATTTTCTGTAAACTATTTTACATGTTCAAAATAAATTTAAGTCAAATGAGAAGGAAAGCATAAAAACCTTTATTGTGGTTAAAATGGAAATGTGGTCATTTTTGACTCATTTATCATAAAAGCACAAAGAAAATTTTATTTTTAATAAACTAACATCATAAGTTGTACTTTTATAATTTTGAGTTTTACAATAAAACTGTACAGTGATCCCTCACCTATCGTTGGGGTTACGTTCCAGAGACCCCCGCAGTACGTGAAAATCCATGAAATCGGGGCGTTATAATATTAATATATATTGTTACAGCTTTATAAAGCCTTCCCACGCTCCTACACACCTTTCCCACTCTCTTATAAACACTTCATATGCTCTTAAACACTTGGGCGATGAAGGTGATGATGATGAGATGAATGTACAGGACACACTATAATAAACCCACGGTACAGTGGAGTGAACCATGATATAGCCAGGTATGGCTGTATTGTTTCTTATTAAATTAAACCAGTGTCTCGGTGACAGCTGTCTTGGGTCTCAGTTCGGACCAGTTCTGACCGTGAACAATAATAACGTTGTGTTCCGCCCTCAGGCCGGTTTGTACCGTCTGTCCGGTGCTGATCGCACAGTCAAGGAGCTGAAGGAGAAGTTCCTCCGCAGTAAAACTGTTCCCGTGCTCAGCAAAGTAGACGATATCCACGCAATCACCGGCCTCCTCAAGGACTTCTTGAGGAACCTGAAGGAGCCTCTTCTCACGTTCCACCTGAACCGGGCCTTCATGGAGGCAGCAGGTACATTTGTCTTATTGTGACCGGTCTGAAAGAGAGGGCTTCATAACAACATTATTAGCAAATAAATAACACTTTTTTTGTAGTACTTGAAGCTTCTCACCAGAGAACAGAAATACACCCAACACGCTCGTTAAACACAGCTTCTTAAGTGCTCCTGGTTGTTCTGCGATCTGTTCTGAGGAGTGCAGGAAAGCTCTGGGGAGACGTTATCTGACACATAAAAAGATTGATTTTTTGTTTGTTGCTGGAGTTGGAAACATTTTCCTTTAAGATGTTTAACAATTCTGTTCAGTGTCTTATTGCTTGGCCTGTGAGGAAACTCTTTCTTCTTCCTTCAGAGGTTTCAGATGAGGACAACAGCAAGGCTCTGATGTACCAAACCATCAGCGACTTGCCGCCGCCCAACAGGGACACGCTGGCCTTCTTAGTGCTACACCTGAAGAGGTTGGCAGCCCCGTCGCCTCCAGTGACTAACAGCTGTCCACATGTTTGGATTCACTGACATGCTGCATTAGTCTCACTTTTTATAACCCGCCCACAACTCAGTCAGTTGGGTTGAAGTGATTTAAGTATAATGTATACATATATTTTTAATTGATTTTATTTAGCTTTAAAAGAAAACTCTATAGATTTTGAAAATGTTTCATCTACACAAGTCAGACATAAATCAAGTGTAACGAAATGTTTCAGAGTTGCTGACAGTTTGGACACCAAGATGGACATCAGTAACTTGGCCCGGGTGTTCGGTCCAACTATCGTCGGTCATGCAGTTCCAAACCCAGAGCCCATGACGATCCTGCAGGACACCAAACGACAACCTTTGGTAAGTCCGAGTTCATCACTGGGGGATGGGGGCACCTCACGTCGCTTTGATTGCTGTGAAACAAATATAAAACATATAGCCATAGTTATATTTCAGACCAAAGAGTCTTTCACAATAAAAAAACAGTTTTACACTAAAGTCATAAAGTTCTCTGGGGGTGGATGTTCATGTTACCTGCTTTTTTATTTTTCCTCCACTTTTTGGTCCCGTGATGACGTGAGGTCATCTTGTTCTGTTGTGCCTCCAAAATGTGAAACTTAACGTACTACCTCTATTTTTCTTTTTTTAATGTATGCATTTCATTGACATTTATAGACATACATGTACATCCACTTCAATAATTAGTAAAATATCCATTTAAATGTCTTTTACACAACAAAATAGGGAACACAACATAAACAATAACACAAAGGGAGTGAAAATGTTTTTTGTTACAATCAATGTATCATTCAGAAATGTCTAGGTTTAGATCTGGTCTGTGTGATTTTATATAAACCATTTCTTCCAGTGTAAAGTCAAACGGTCCTTTTTGTCGTTTACTTCTGCTTCTACTTCAGTTATTCTCTCCATCCTGTATGCGTCCGTTCTGACGTCCATCCTATGTTCAGTGTTGGTCTCCAGTGAAAGTCGATGTTCGTGAGGGCTTTTTTGCACGCCACTAATAAAATATTAAACAGATATTTGTCTATCTTAGACCATCTTTCAGGCATTTTGTTTATTAACCTTTATTAAAGCAGGTAAATCCCACTGAGATCACAGATCTCTTTTTGCAAGGGAGGCCTGAAGGCAGACTAACATGCATGTTGTTGGTCTGTGGGAGGAAAGCGGAGTAGGAGAAAACCCACACAAGCACGAGAAGAACATGCAAACTCCACACAGAAAGACCCCAGGTCCAACTGGGGATTGAACCCAGGACCTTCTTGATGTGAGGCAACAGTGCTAACCACTGCACCGTCGTGCTGCTTATGCCTATCTTGTATTGCTTCATGTATCTCCTTCCAATAAGTTTTAATTTACTTGACAGTCCCAAAAATCACGGTAATGATGTGCACTTTTATTTCCACAGTTTCTCCATCAAGCTGGAGCGTTACCTTTATAGTGTGATTTTTGGTAAGGTGTAATAAATAAAGAATCTTATCCATCACCTCTAGTGTTCACTGAGTCTGGACTCAGATCCGTCACAATAAAAGTTGCCGTGCACTTTAGACTTTACTGTGTTGGACTGAAACTTTGACGTTGCTCACTTGATGGTCCTCTCGTTAGCAGCAGCAGCTGACAACCCCTGACCTTTCTGACCGTTTCCTTCTGTTAGTGGAGCAGATACGTGAAATAATCTTTCAAACATGGACACAAGGAGTGGGAGGACATTCTTTCATAAGCCCGTCTAAAGACAGGCGTGTTGTCTCTTTCTGTAAACTTTCTCTGGTCCCACCACAACTTCTGATCATTTAACGAAACTTGATGCATACTGGGTCTGTATCGTCACTAGACAGTGTCACATTCACTTTTAATCACCACGGCTTCAAGGTTAAAACAAGGTCCTTGTCCCGTCCATGACTTCTGATCTGCTCAAGATCATTTAACGAAACCTTAGACACATTCGTACCTCCACTAGACAGCATGCTGCGTAACCTTTTAATCACCCAGCTCTAAGGTCAAGGTCACAAGTCAAGTATAAGTTGCCGTACGCAATAATACCAGTAATGTTAGAAAATCACATTAGCCACTCAAAATTTCAAAATGGCTGGCATTTTTTCAAGAAAGCTGACAAAACGGATATATTTTCAAATAGCATTTCTATACAGTATTTTGAAATTTATGATATCATTATTAATTAATAATAATTAAACAATAATTAATTGATTAATGAGAATGTTTTATGTAGGAAAATGTATAACACAAGCTGAATTACTAATATGATTACTGTATGGAATTTAAAAAATCATAATGGCCACCATTTTTAAGATGGCTGACCAAAGTTTTATATTTTCATGGTACTCTGACATCTTGATAATTATAAGGTACAGTACTGCATACATTTTGATTTATGGTAGAAAAATGGTATTAAAAAAAAAAAGTTCAAAATTACTAATTGGTAAATTTTATGGAACTGAAAAATCTAAATGGCAAAAAATATCGTCTTTAAATTGTACGTTGGCAGCCATCTTGAAATTCTTATTTTTCCATTTATCCAGCTAGACTGAGCCACGAGAACTCATTTTCAAGAGAGACCTGTTTTAGGGAGCAGATGGCGGTTAAGAGCCTTGCTCATGGGCCCAGGGTGGGGCGAATGAGGGTGGGGGCAGGTGTGGGTGCTTCACCTACCCCACCCACATTTTTGATGTTGTCGGTACCGGGGCTTGAACCGGCGATCTTCCGATCACAGGCCCACCTTCTCTAGCCTCTGCGCCACCACTCCCCCCTAATTTAAATGAATAAATGAATGTGTAAGGAAAGTCTGAAAAGTTTTATTCTTTCATCCAGATTTGAAAGATGCTGGAGTTGGTCATTTACGATGAAAATATTTCCAACCACGAGTCTCGGAGGAGTTTTGTGTCAGTCTGCAGACCATCACTGGTCCGTGCTGCACGTCTGCACTCCAGTTCTGTCCTTTACTTCCTCAACAGGACATTAAACATAAAAATATAATCACGTTTTGAATGTGTTCAGATTCTGAATCGTTCACACCTGCACCCCCTTTAGTGACGCCTCACGGGTTTTAAAGATCTCAGAAAGGCTTTGCTGCACCTGTTGTCATTAGAAATGTTGGTGAGAACAAGTGGTGCCAGTATTACAGGACCAGTTTGATGATCATGACCCATCTTCAGATATTTGTGTCCTCGCTGCGCTCTGGTGTTACTTTAATAATTAGGAGTCAGAAATGTCTCTGTCCTCCAGAAACTGTATTTACAACTGGTGCACTGTCACTTTTACCAGTTCCTGTGGGAACTACAGCGCATGCATGATCAAATATAGAGTTCTCCCAGGGGAATACAGACTTCTCTACCTTGCAATGCATTCTGGGATTTCATCCCAATAAAAACATTCCTGCGTCTTTATTTTAGTGCTGTGTGCTGTCGTCACTGTACGTTTCTATACAACGATGACATTAGTTCTGTTCATTTAACCCATCACACCTGGGATACACCCAGGTGGAGCAGTGGGCAGCTACGAGCGCCCGGGGAGCAGTTAGGGATTGGGTGTCTTGCTCAAGGACACCACGACATGTTGGCATGGCAGGGAGTTGAACCTGTGACTTTATGGTCTCAAGTCGGCTGCCCTACCTCTACACCGTGCCGGCCCCTGAATACTTTGATTTTAAATAATTAAAGCGTTTTACATTTATAATATATGATTTTATTAAAGGATAAAACAAACAATTATTCTGTTTTTGTACACAAAGATGTTTGGATGTGGACATGGAGATAACAGAAATACATTCTTTCATATTATTTATTTATAAACATTTATTTAAAACGTACTGGTGGGGTTTAATGTTCAGTGTTTTCCAGAAGTGATCACTTGAACTGTTCAAACCGTCCTCGTGTAAAATGAAACTGTTACAGTTTGTTGAAGTGCTTCAGATGAACGTGGTTCGTTTAGTTTGGTTTAGAAGGCCCTTCAGGTGGGTCAGGGTGAAACGCTAAAGCAAAGTGATCTTTTTGGTGCTCTTTAAAGTTTAATGAACTTGTTTTGTGTCCAGGTGGTGGCAGGTCTGCTGGCTCTGCCGGTGGCATTCTGGGACCAGTACGTGAGGGCGGAGAACTTGGACCATTTGATCATCGAGAATGCAAACTGCTACGCCACCCCTGAGAGAAGTAAATCCACTTTTCCTTTTGTTATCACCCACCATCAAAACACAGTAATGGTTTCTTCATGTCTCTGGCTGTTAGCAAAATCTCTTGATCAAGTAGATGAATTTATATTTATAACCTAATTAATATTTTGTACAGACAAAGACTAACCCTGCTTTAAAGATCAGTGTACAAACAGAGGTCTTGGTGCCACAAATGGATGAGATGTACCGGACCCCTCTCAGGTTTGTCATTCTTTAACTGTTGCAGTGACTTTACTGGGACCTCTGACTACTCCCGAGTTAAACAAGACCCCTTCCTCCAGCTCCCTGTCTCAGCGCATGAAGTCCACTCTGACACCGAGGTAAACACACACACCTCGTCACGTTAACCCTCGGCTGCACTCACTCACTCAATCCTTTCTTTTCCGTCGCAGGTTTGGAAGCAAGAGCAAGTCAGCTGTGGGATTTGCTCATCAAGGAAAGTTCTTTTCTTCACCACTCCTGAAATAATACGGAGCAGCTACACCTTTCCTTTACTTGTACTGCAATATTTAGACAATAAGGATATTCCTCCGTCATATATGACTCAACAAACGATGGATTCTGATGGTTGCAAAGGTGTTTTTTCAACCAAATAGTAAGTTTAGCTTTTTGTGCAGCCCTTTGTGTCTTTAGGTCGATGATTTTTTGCTAACTGCTCAACGTGTCGGTCTGATTTCAGACGATAACACGAGTCTGTCGTGTTTTTAAAGAATTACAGATGTGTACTGTTCAGCTTTGTCCTGCTCATTTGCTTTCACTTCTTCAGCTCGTCACTCACAAGTTGAAGAAAGATTGGCATTTCATTCTAGAGTGTAATTTGTTGTTTTTTTTATGCTTGTATTTGATTTACTTTTTTTACTGCATTTCATTGGGATTGTCTTCATTAGCCAGTGGTTTGTGCTTTAAATGTTTGGAGCCAGCCACCCTCTTCTTGTTTTACCTCGACTACACAACGATCATTACAAGATCTCCAGATGGGCCTTTTTTATGGACGAGCTCTTTGTTTACTCTATGAATATATCTGGCATAAAAGCTACAAAGTTGCTGAGCCAGTCATGATCAGGGGCTTTAATGTCTGCCGTCATGTCATTTCCTCCTCTGGTTCATTCTGTAGGAGGTATTTGATGAGCAGACCCTTAAAAAGACTTCTTTACATTTGCCAGGTCAGTTACTGTGGCATTATCTATCTGTCTAACTCATTTTGTACACAAAACTCGTGTAAATTATAAAATACATTTCTACCATTCACAGCTGTGTTTTCTCAGTTTTATTTATTTGGATCCCTTTAGCCATTGTTGTAACAGTGGCTACTCGTCCTGGTGTCCACATCATACAAAAAAACATTTATTACAAAGACAGTTACACACTTTATATAACATGGGTAATAGCATAATGTGATAATTAATTCATAAATGTATAATTATGACACTTTATGTAATAACATTAGCAGGGCTCTTTTAAAAGCTCTCGCAGTTGTTACATTTAACACAGATGAAGGAAGAAGTTTCAGGTTTTCATTCCTCTAAAAAAAATATCAGTCTTTTGTCCAACATTCCTTTTGCATGGTGGAAAAGTAAAACAACCTTTTAAAGCACGCCTTTTATTAAAATTGTGTAAAGTTTGGCTAAATAAAAGTCGATTATATAAAACATTTGGTATCTTGGATACCACAATGTTTCTTAAAAAAAAGCATAAAAGGGCAATTTCAACCTTATTTTTAACCAAAAGTCAACTTAGCGCTTTGTGCATACTGATAATATTTGTATATATGGAACAATTCAGTGCAAGACGAGTTGCTCTGTTTTGGACTAATTGTAGTTTAAGTATTTTTCTGAAGCACTGGAGTGGACCACACCATCAGACAATACTGCACACAAGACAACTTAATAATTTGTGGGATTAATTTTAATGTTGTATAATGTAAACATCTTTTTATAACAGCTAGTTGTCGTCCCATCACAGCAGCAGTGCATTCAATCTGCTGAGACCGCTCCAATCAGCTGTCCATAACAACTCCCAGAAGTTTCTTGCCTGAGTAATGGCTGTTCCATTTATAGACTGCAAAATTTATGCTCATTCATCCAGTAATGCTCTGTCAGGTCATCTGGACAGTTTCTTTTTTTTATAGAGATGTTTCGTCCTCTATCCGGAGGGCTTCATCAGTCTGAGGAGTTCCAGTAAACTGTTTCCCCACCCAACAGTAAACTCCTTAAGTGGACCAACCAGTTTGTTTGCTGGAGCTAAGATGGTTTCTGGGGGCCGTCCTGTCCCCCGTCGACTCCTCCCAGACAGGCAGTCACAGCCAAAGTGGTTCAAGGCAACAAAGTTCATGCTCAATCATCCAGGTATCAAATCCAATAATTCTCAGTCAGGTCTTTTATAGACAGGTTTAGTTTTGGCTGAGTTTGTTATACAGGTCCTTCTCAAAAAATTAGCATATTGTGATAAAGGTCATTATTTTCCATAATGTAATGATAAAAATGAAACTTTCATATATTTCAGATTCATTGCACACCAACTGAAATATTTCAGGTCTTTAATTGTTTTAATACTAATGATTATGGCATACAGCTCATGAAAACCCAAAATGCCTGTTCCAAAAAATTAGCATATCATGAAAAGCTTCTCTAAACAAGCCATTAACCTAACCATCTGAATCAACGACGTAACTCTAAACACCTGCAAAAGATTCCTGAGGCTTTTAAAAACTCCCAGCCTTGTTCATTACTCAAAACCACAATCATGGGTAAGACTGCCGACCTGACTGCTGTCCAGAAGGCCATCATTGACACCCTCAAGCAAGAGGGTAAGACACAGAAAGAAATTGCTGAACGAATAGGCTGTTCCCAGAGTGCTGTATCAAGGCACCTCAGTGGGAAGTCTGTGGGAAGGGAAAAGTGTGGCAGAAAACGCTGCACAACGAGAAGAGGTGACCGGACCCTGAGGAGGATTGTGGAGAAGGGCCGATTCCAGACCTTGGGGGACCTGCGGAAGCAGTGGACTGAGTCTGGAGTAGAAACATCCAGAGCCACTGTGCACAGGCGTGTGCAGGAAATGGGCTACAGGCGCCGCATTCCAGAGGTCAAGCCACTTTTGAACCAGAAACAGCGGCAGAAGCACCTGACCTGGGCTACAGAGAAGCAGCACTGGACTGTTGCTCAGTGGTCCAAAGTACTTTTTTTGGATGAAAGCAAATTTTGCATGTCATTCAGAAATCAAGGTGCCAGAGTCTGGAGGAAGACTGGGGAGAAGGAAATGCCAAAATGCCAGAAGTCTAGTGTGAAGCACCCACAGTCAGTGATGGTCTGGGGTGCCATGTCAGCTGCTGGTGTTGGTCCACTGTGTTTTATCAAGGGCAGGGTCAATGCAGCTAGCTATCAGGAGATTTTGGAGCACTTCATGCTTCCATCTGCTGAAAAGCTTTATGGAGATGAAGATTTCATTTTTCAGCACGACCTGGCACCTGCTCACAGTGCCAAAACCACTGGTAAATGGTTTACTGACCATGGTATTACTGTGCTCAATTGGCCTGCCAACTCTCCTGACATGAACCCCATAGAGAACCTGTGGGATATTGTGAAGAGAAAGTTGAGAGACGCAAGACCCAACACTCTGGATGAGCTTAAGGCCGCTATCGAAGCATCCTGGGCCTCCATAACACCTCAGCAGTGCCACAGGCTGATTGCCTCCATGCCACGCTGCATTGAAGCAGTCATTCATGCAAAAGGATTCCCGACCAAGTATTGAGTGCATAACTGAACATGATTATTTGAAGGTTGGCGTTTTTTGTATTAAAAACTCGTCTTTCATTGGTGGGATGAAATATGCTATTTTTTTGGGACAGGCATTTTGGGTTTTCATGAGCTGTATGCCATAATCATCAGTATTAAAACAATTAAAGACCTGAAATATTTCAGTTGGTGTGCAATGAATCTGAAATATATGAAAGTTTCATTTTTATCATTACATTATGGAAAATAATGACCTTTATCACAATATGCTAATTTTTTTAGAAGGACCTGTATGTATATATATATATATATATATATATATATATACAAAGTATATATATATATATATATATATATATATATATATACACAAAGTATATACATACATATGAATTATCTGAATAATCAAAGGAAGAGCTATATTTGATCTAGTATTAGCTGAGTCATTTACTTTATTTGCTACATAATGCGTGGCATTTTATCTTATAACATTGCCATTAGTTGAATCTGTGTTAGCAAAATATCTTGCAAAACACTGAGTATATTTTAATGAATCAGGAAATAATCACTGGATGCATCTACAACAGGTTTCATTTAGTGAATTCAAGATGGCTGCTACACATTTACAATCAGTAAAATGTCAGGTTTACTGACAGAGCTAAAAATTGACGTGGTAGTAGCTGAGAGTCATACACAAACATGTACTGAGTGAGAGATTGTGTATAATATTTGTAAGCAGTCCTGATTACCAAGTTATTATTTTTATTAGTGTTCATTTTAATTTCACTTAGTGGTTTAGGATTTGGAAAACTTCAAACATAAAAACAAATTATAAATATTTTATTCAAAGCATTATCTTTAAATCCAGTCCCGCTAAATAAGAACTGGTCTAAAACCAGTGTCAGCATTAAGAGGTCAGGTCTCAGGAGGTTGTTTAAAATCTACATTTAGGAGAAAAACTTCAAGAATTTGAGTTGTAACTGCTTTTCCTAAACTATGACCTGAAAAAGTAAATAAATTAATAGTTTGGGATAATGTTTTTTTTTTTAATTACTTGACTGCTTTTTATTGTTTTGGACATTTATGCCATTTTTTGTTTGTTTACAAAACACACTGTAACTCAAAAATGTTTTTATAGAAGAGGTTCGGGCTTTTAATTTGAAAAACCCTGTTTCTAGTAAACGTTTTGTTCAATGTACCTCTTCAAATACATTTCACCTTTTAGGGAAAAGGGCAAAAAGCCTATCGTAGGGACAGTTTATGACGAGGTACATCAGATGGTATTTTCTTAAATTTTACATCACCTAAAGATTTTAAATTGCATAATTTCTGAAATTCTTTTGGTTTTGGTGTACCACTCCAGGATTTTCAGTGGCCCCCATATGGCCACCTTGTTGAAAATGTCTTGGGGCGCCTCTGGATGAGTGATGTATTTTCCACAGTGACATCATCGCCGTCACTCATACCTTTTTAAAACCATCTCCTTCAGGCACTTTCCTCACATGATCTATGGTTCGAACTTCTCTTGGATGACTGAAAGTCGTGCGACTGTAAATGCAGGGATGAGGTCTGAAGTAAATTACAGCTGGAGAATATTCAAAATATTTCCAGTTTTATTGTGAATGCAGCAGACGGTGATAAATGTTCAAACAATATCAAAATGTAGGCCACGGCCAGAGAAGAGGAGTGTTCCTGATGTAGTCCTGGAAGGCTGACTCAGACCCCCACTTCTTCATGGCCTGCTTCTCCAGGATGGGGATCCCGCTGACGTAACGCAACAGGAACCAAACGAACAGTGGCGACACCACGCTAAGGTACTGGGGGCCCTGCATCACTGACGAGGCCGAGAGCCAGAGACCCGACCACTGCAGGATCTCTCCAAAGTAGTTGGGATGTCTGCTGTAGGCCCACAGCCCGCTCTGGATGAATTTCCCCTGGAGGCGTGAAAGTCGAGGTTATTACACCAAGTGATTGAGGCACCAACAGACAGGTCCGCTAACTTACAGCGTTCTCTGGATCCCTTTTAAAGAGCCACTTTTGCTGGTCTGCAATGGTCTCGATAGCGAAGCCGAAGCCCCAAACAGTCCAGCCGATGTGGTCCCTAACCCCCAGAGGCACATTACGCCTCTCGGCGTTCAGCATGAGGGTGGGCAGGAGGGTTATAAATATCCACACAGCTGAGAGAAACAAGAAAAATGACTCGGGTTCATCCTGCTCAACTTTATTCCTTCCATAAAATAAATGAATTTGTCGATGTAGCCGGCAGCCCTCGCCTTGAATAAATGCATGTAAAGAGCTGGAAACTAGACAATGATTGATAAAAGGCACCCCTCCATGCTGCTCGAGTAAAACTGGTTCTGAGCTGGTAGAGAGGAAGGAGTTAATCTTTCCAAGTACCTTGAACTGTCCAGTATACAAAGAAAGTCCCTGGGCTGTCTCTGACATTGTTGAACCTGCGATCGTGACCGTCCTTCAAGATCCGCAGGAAAAGGAATGTCCCCAGTCTGTGGAGAGGACATATTTAACATCCATTCACATTAACCAAGACATTATTCATTAACTTAGACCAACCTGACGTCAAACTTTCACATCCACTCCTTCCTCCACTGACCTCTCCCGCAAGGATATAATCTCCTGCCTTGGCTTTATGACATTTGAGGTCAGAGCTGCCCCGCTTACCTGAGTCCCCACGCTGTCACCAGCCCGGCCTGGACCTTCTGACGGGCATGAGTAGCTCCTCCCCAGATACGACTCAGGTGTGTAAGGAGTATAAATGTGCCAGAACCTGCCAACAGAGAGAGACAGGTACGTTGGACGTTGGCATGGCGGATCGCTCCACTTGTTTCAGAGCAAGGCGTGTCCGATAAATCTTTTACCCGGAGTTCTGCAGATGACTGGTTCCAAAGGTCAAGGGTAAAAGATACACAGAAGCAGTGAGGAGAGAGAAGACGGAGTACAGAAAAGCTGAGGTGATTCATTAGTGAAATAATTCATATATTGTCACTTGTATCAACAGGTAAGCAATCGAAAACTGATTTGAAAGTGACTGTTTTGAGACATGAATTTGGAAACCTCTAACGCCCTCGTTGACTTTGCGTTTGGTGTTTTTATGAGTTGCAACAACTGTTTATTGATTTTAAATCAATTTAAAGTGCAGAACAAGTGAAGCAATTTTACTGCAGGTACAGACTGAATTTAAAATACATTTGCTAGAATATTCTTGATTAGGTGATTAATAATTTGTTGCACAAGATGTGGGAGTATGGTGAAAATGCCGGTATTCTTCAAAACCCCAGATCCTCAGCATCAAATGAGAGGAAATAAAAAATAGTAATAATTATTAATTTTATTATTATGTAATAGAAGTTTGAAATAAAGACGTTAATGCAGTTCACATGTTGTCAATCCAACTTGGCTTCAACAATACACTGACATTTTTATGTTATTAGAAATACTAAAAAAGTAATTATATATTTGTGAACATTGTGATTGGGGCCCACAAAAAGCCCCCTTTAGATTTATTGAGGGGCCGTAGAATCGTTATGTGTGGCCCTGCTGATCCTCGTTTCACAACAAACCTGTTTTACATAACAAGACTTTTAAAATGATTAGTTGTTGTTGTGCATAAAACGCGTTTTTAAATTAATACCTTCTAAATAAAACGTGTTTTCTTGCCAAAAATCTCTCCCGAATTCATCTTTGCACCAACAGGAAGCTGCAGTGTTAAAGTGTTTGCGTTACCTGCTAAATCATAAAACTTCTCGGTTCTGAAAGCTGCAGCCAGGGCCCAGCCGAACCACTGGACCCCCAGGTCTGTGGCGGCACACCTCACCAGCATGCCCCCCATAGTCAGGTCCAGTTCGATCTGTGGGAAAACTCCTTCAAGAAGAAACACTTCGGATAAAGTGAGAAAGTCCGCTGCTGCAAGGATACCGGAAGTGAGCGTTAGTAGGGACCTCTGGGTATTGTAGTTTAAACAGGGTCAGCGCATTTCCGAGGTTTATGTTCTGTCTTTTGATCAATGGGACTGTTCATCCAGATGTTTTAATATATTTTGTTATTAATCACAAAATATTTACGTATTACTGAGCAAAAAAACAGTGAGGGAAAATTCCTGAGCCACCCCTTCATTCCTACAGGTTTTCTTTTCCATTGAGTCAAACTTTCTTGTATCATTTTAAAGTCCTCTGATATATATTTTTAAGTTTGCATTTGCACTTTGACTTATTTTTTATTTCATTAGTTTTTCCGTTCAGTTCGTCCATTCGAAAATGAAGGATTTATTGATTGTATCTATTAATAACTTTATCATCCACCATAGAAAAGGTAATGCATTGAGTTCACTAGTTTAATTGTGATGAAAAGACCTAATTTAATTTATAATTTTTTAATCAAAATGTCTTAAATGTATTAATTTAATTATGTATACTGACATTTGGTTCTGGTTAGACGAGGAGATAAAATATAAAGACTGTTGTTCTGGAAGCTGAAACAGGAAAAACAACTGAATTCTTTTGACAAAGATAATAAATGGACCCACCTGTTCTCAGCTTCAGGGTTTCTGCATGTGTGACCAGACAGTGATGGATATTCTCTTTTATTTCTGTTTCCTCTCAGAAATAACACATAAACATGGCAGAGAGCACGAGTCCTAAAGGCACATCTGGCGACTTTGCTAAAAAGGTCCAAAGACAGCTGAGCAGAAGCAAAGAAAAGGTACGCACCTGTGAGTTCGAACTATGTGACAAAGAAAGACGTTTTAAACTGAATTTGTGTTTGTGTGTTTGAAGGTTTTGCAAAAGCTTGGAAAGACGCTGGAGACCAGAGATGACCAGTTTGATCAGTACCTCCAAACCTTCATCGACCAGCAGGTGATCGTTGCTGCCACAATTAAGAAAAACAAGACGTTTGACGTGAATCTGAGCAAACCTATGTTTCAAATTTGCTGCTGTCTGAGAACGTTCTGCTTCATATATAAACTCTGGGATGATTTACTAATTAAATCAGTGGCTCAAACATCATACAAGTGTAAGATGTGGAACGATAAGATGGTGAGATGTGGAAGTCTTGTGTGTTTACAGAGCGATGGCAACCGAATATACAAGGACCTGAGGAACTACATCACTGCAGTGAGAGGTGAAAGAACTTCTCCGCCTGTAGCTGCTGCAGAGCTGTAGATGTGTGTAGATGTGTGTCCTCTGCAGGACTCAAACAGGACATTGTGTTGCTTCTTTGCAGACATGCGTGAAGCTTCAAGACGCCTTTCTCAGTCTCTGTTTGATGTTTACGAAAGCGACTGGGCCGGGGAGGAAGATCTGGGAGCCATCGTAGAGGTTAGAATGAAAACTGCGTTTTGTTTTAGTGCAAAGACAGCAGAACGACGAGGGAACACGACCCTTGATGTCTACACAACTTATGATTTATGGGTGTTTTAACGAAGGGGGAGGACCTGCTGTGGAACGACTTCGAGGTCAAGCTGATAGACCAGGCTGTCCGCACCATGGAGTCCTACGTGGGCCAGTTCCCAGACATGAGGGTGAGGCCACAAGGAAGCAAACAGAGTTAAACATACAGGAGGGGGGAGCCTGAGAGAAAACACACAGTGTGAAGCAAACACTTGTAGTTCAAACACTCACCGTCAGATCATCTGAGTCTTTGCTCATCTGTAGGAGAAAATTGCCAAGAGGGGAAGAAAACTGGTCGACTACGACTCGTGTCTTCACCATCTGGAGGCTCAGCAGTCGTCGAAGAAGAGGGATGATATCAAGATAAACAAGGTGGGATCTGCTTCATGTTGTGTACTCATGACGTTTTAATTAAAGTTGGTTCAAATGAAAGGCTTTTCGTGTTGCAGGCAAAGGAGGAGATGAAAGCTGCCAAAGCTGTTTATGAAAGGATCAACACTGAGCTGAAAGACGAGCTTCCTGTTCTCCATGACAGGTCCGACACGTTTCTTTTGGGTCTTTTAGAGTTTACGTGTAAATGATTTGTGAATGTTTTCCTCTCTTTAGCCGCATCGGATGCTACGTGACCGTCTTCTCATCTGTGTCTAATTTACGAGACATCTTCTATAAGGAAATGAACACGGTACGTCTTGTTTTGTCTTGGCATGTAGCAGTCATCAGGATGATATACAGAGCTTTTTTTTTTTCTAGCTCAATCTTGATCTACAGAGTGTAATAAAAGAGCTCCAGGCTCAGCATCCTGACAAAGGGTTTGCAGTGAGAGGTGTGCAGAGGTAAGGCTTACCTTTTTAACTTTATGTTGTAGGTTTTTAAACGCTGATCGTCAGATGCATCCATTAATCACGAGCATTGAGCGTTAAATATTTGCATGCTTCCATTCAAGGGTGGAATGATTATGCAAAAATGACTTCACTGATTTAAAAGAACAGAAATGGGTGTACAAGTTTGAACATATGGTGGATTTTCTCTAATCCTCATAGGTTGGGCCTCCTATAAAACGATTGGACCTCAACCATCAGCAAGCTTCTGTCTCATTCAGTTCTGACATTTGATCGCTCCTCTTGGCAGAGCTGGTACAGTTCATTTACATTTGTAGGTTTCCTATACAGGCCTGACTTGTAGGCATAATCTACATTTGTTTGAATTGAGCTGAAGTGGAGAAAGAGCTTAATGTCAGCTGATTTATCTAATCAGAAACCAGTTCAGATGTGTTTAGGATCAAAGTCCTGTAGGAACACCCAACCGTGTCCATGTTAAACATTCGTCTTTATTATTCCAACTACTTTTTGTAGCAGTACCACAGCATGATGCTACCACCACACTTGACAGTGGGGAGAATGTCATAAAGCCTCACGATGACTCTTCTGGAAACACACCTGAGCTCAAGCTTTGTCTTGTCATTTGGCTTGTCCCTCAGGTTTGAAGGTGCAGGACCTTCCTTCTTTGTCGGCACCTTTTCAAGTCTGGCTTCAATAAGAGAGCAGAGACTCTGGTGTTCCTGAGCCTTGATGATTCCTGGGTTGTTCGTAAACATCAGAATTCAAAAAGCGTTCGATACAAAAACAACTAGACTTTATTTGAAACAAGACGTTTCGCTCCTCATCCGAGGAGCTTTCTCAATTCAAAGAGCAGAGAGTGAGAGACTTCCTCAGTCTGAGGTGCTGTATTCAGCTCAGTCTCTTAAATAGCACCTTCTCAGAGTGGATCAACCAGTTTGCTGCTGACAACCAAAACCAGCTGATCACATGCTCAAGAAGGACCATCAGCCTAACAATGGGTCATTAGCACACTGATGGCTGTTTACTGTTCACAGAGGGCTGAGTGATACTAGCAATCACAGCATTGTAAGAGGGGGACAGTTGAACCCGGAGGCCTCCACCCCTGTTTAATGATGGACGATTTCTTTTCACAAAGATGGCCTCCTTTACTCCTCTCTCAAACCATCGTTCCTCTCTATCCAGGATGTGAACATCTTCATCCCTGAAAAAGTGACCGCTGGCCTGGAGATGAGTGTAGACCACAGAGTCCTGGCCTGATGATGTTGATCTTCTGTGCTGGGCCATCCTTTTGGCCAGTGGCTGTTTTGTTTCCCTGATGTAAGACTGATCACAGCCCTCCTGACACTGAACAACATACACAACATTACTCTGTTTGTGCCGGGGGACTGGATCTTTGGGATGAACCAGTCTTTGCCGTAATGTATTTTGGGGTTTAAAAGCCACTGGGACGTTATGTTTAGAAAATAAACGTCTCAGTTTCTCTGATACTCCCTCAACATATGGAATGACCACTGGTCTGGGTCTGGGTTCCTCCTTTTCACCTGTTGGCTGACTGGAGTCCTGTTTGGGTTTCTTCTCTGCTTTCAGGAAGGCCCAGTTAGGATATCCACATTGCTCTAGAGCCTGTCTTGTGTGGGATTTCTCCTTCTGCCTGGCTCCTGAGTTAGAGGGGATGCTGTCTGCTCTGTGGTACAGAGTCCTGATTACTCCTAACTTGTGCTCCAAAGGGTGATGGGAGTCAAACTGCAAATACTGGTCTGTGTGGGTGGGTTTGTGGTACACCTCAGTTTGCAAATGTCCTCTATCAGAGACTGAGACCTCACAGTCCAAGAAAGCCAGCATATATTTTAGGCAAAAGCAACATTAAGATATACAACAGCACCTAAAATGTTGCACCGGTTCATTTCTGTGGAAAACCAAAGGCCCACTGAGAACAGAGTCCTGATGACTCCTAACTTGTGCTCCAGCAGGTGATGAGAGTCAAACCACTGGTACTGGTCTGTGTGGGTGGGTTTCGGTACACCTCAGTTTATAGATGTCCTCCATCAGAAACTCAGACCTCACAGTCCAAGACAGTCAACCTGCCATTTTTTACATTTTCTCGTGTGAACTTGATGTATTTATCCACAGAGTTGATGTGGTCAGTAAAATGTTGGACTTCCTGAGACTTAATTACTTTACATTTAATTTAAATTTAATTGTTTTGCTTTGTTTTGTTTTTTTGAATGTCCAGAGGACCAGATTTAACTTTTTTTAGATTTTTCTACCTGGATTATTGAGCATGCATCAGGATACTTAACAGTAGGGGTTTCTTAAAGTCTTTGTTACTCCAATTCACAGACGAGGCCCCTCTGTTTCCATTCTGTCTGTGCACTTCAGTGCAATGACAATCTAAAGCTGATTCTGATTTTAATCTGATGGCGACAGAGGAGCACCTTTCAATCTAATCAATTCTGTTAAATACATTTCATGCTGGCAAAGAGAAGCGACCCGCTGCATTCAATCATGATCACAAATAAAAAGGGATAGGCCTCGACCATGTCCAATTGTAAACCTTGATAATCACACCAAAGGATGTAAATGTATGTATATTCATTCATTCATTCAACCTTTATTTATACAGGTTAATCTCATTGAGCCTCGGGGACTCATTTACAAGAGAGACCTGAATGTGCTGAGGGTATATGTTTAGGTATAAGCACTTTGATAACAGTTTATCTGTTTTAAATTGTGCTCTACAAATAAAGATAAAAATAAAATAAATAAAGATAAAGATATGTTTAATTCTGATCCTATGTGGATTACAGAAAATCATAAATAAATTCAAACTTGTGCAGCCAGTTCCTTTTTCAAAAACCATCATATATTGTTTAATAATTCCACCCTGGAAACAGAATGGATCACATAAATTATTAACAGACTCAGATTAGTGATATTCATGCCCACAGTGAATGAAAGTAGACTTCTGACCATGACTGTGTTTATCACAGCTCTTTATCAGAAATCACTTCAGTTCTTCTTTGTGTTTCCATTTGAATAAGACTCGTTTTAATGAATTATTTCAGGTATGGCTCCTTGAGAAGGACTCTGATGTCCCCTAGGGCCTGGAAATCCAGTTTTTCTGAGTTTCACAGGAGCTACAGCCCCAGGAACAGCCAGCGGTCCAGTTTCAGGTCCTCTGACAAGTCTCGCTACGGCACTCTGTCCAGAGAGGGCAGTACGCTCGGCGTCTCCTCGAAGCCTTCGTCCCTGGAGAGCCCTCTGTCTGAATCCAGGGAGCTGGACGCTGCATCGATCCACAGTGAGAGACGCAGCTCTGCAGGACAAGACACCGCTGCCTCCACTGTGGAAACATCAGGGCGGGAGCTGAAGACAGAAGAAAACAGCAGTCAGGCTGAAGGGGGGGAAGGCTGGAAGGAGCCGGCTGAGAAGAAAGACGGGGAAAAAGCTCCACCAAGTGCGAGCAGCTCTGAACTGAACGTGTCTTGTGACTCGGAGAGCTTGGAGCTGCAGCTGTCTGCCGCACACAGCGGCCCACTGCACATCGAAGAAGACGCCGTGACCTCTGACCCTGAAAAACCAAATGGTCTGGAAAATGGTGTGGTCAGTGGGTTGAACTCTGACCCCAAGGACCTGAGCACTCTGCACAAGGTTTGTTTTCTGATGAGCGCACCGCTAAAGCACAGTCCCAGTCTTTGTTTTAACCAAACTCTTGTTAATGTTTAATTTTTCATCCTTTCTGTTTAGGATGTGTCTGCAGGAAAGGAGGCGCTCCAAGACTCAAAGAGCACAACGGTTTAAAGTTTTCACCATTTTATAAAAAGGTTTGAGTGTTTTCTTTTCATGCCTACACGGTGTTATAGATATAAAATGTTGTGTCAGTTTTTCTGCATTTGACTTCTTTTTTACTGAAACGCAGAACGTCGGGACAGAACACGAGACTGAAGACAACAGCTGCAGCGACGAGCCCAGCTCTTCTCTAATGTCCGCTTCTGTTGTTGAGTTTTTTATCTATTGATGAAATTAACTTTATATGATGTTCGTTCTGAGAGACTGAAACAAAACCAACACCCATAGTTTTAATGATAAACGTACTAAAAAGGTTTACACTGACTATCTGTATTAAAGTCTGTGTTTGAAACTAAAACCGCTGAGCTACACGCGCTGCTCTCCGACCACCTGACAGCTATAAAACGTGTGTTTCACTTTAAGTACCTATGAATAATCTAAGACTTTAATCAAATGTAGTTTTATGTGTCACTTATGACTCTAATCAGATGTACATCATTTTCTTATCACATATTTTTTAAATTATGCATTTTGTTTGAATTGAAGCCGTTTGTTTAGTTTTTAATAATTGATGAATAAACATATTCAATCAAACAAATATGTGCAAAAAACAATAAAACACCTTATTGTGCAGTTGCCTTTATTTTTTTTTAAATTGAGCTTTAGCATTGTGGAAAAATAAAATCTTGATGCTCCTATTACAGTTTTTCTCCATCTTCTACTTCTTCTCCGGGGCCAGGTCACAGAGACAAGTCCAGAGGAGAGTCCCAGACCTCCCTCTCCTTAGCTTCACTGTCCAGCTCCTCCTGGGGGACACCAAGGTGTTCCCAGTCCAGAGAGGACATATATTCCCTCCAGTGAGTCCTGGGGTTTCTTTCAAAAGGGAAATGACTGGAAATCTTCCAAAGAGCGGTTTCCAGGAGGCATCAAATCAGATGCCTGAACCACCTCAACAGACTCCTTTTGATGTGGAGGAGCAGAGGCTCTACTTCAAACTCCACCTGGATGATGGAGCTCCTCACCTTATCTCTCTGGTTGAGCCTGGCCGCCCTATGAAAGAGGCTGATTGGGCATTTATATCGAGATCTCTTGCTCATTATCCACAGGTGAGTGTTGAGACAGATCGATAAATCGAGCGCTTTGCCTTTCGATTCAACTCTCGTCACCACTACTGACCGAGGCTACACCCTCATTACTGAGGACAAGGCTATGATCTGTCGACCCATTTCCCACTCCATCCTCCCATTACTGGTGAACAAAATGCCCTGCCCAGATATTTGAACTCCTCCACCTGAGGCAAAGACTCCTGACCTGGTGGTGACATTTCACCTGTTCTTGGTGAACCATGACCTCAGACGTAGAGGAGCTGACTCTTATCCCACACTCAACTGCAAACCGACCCAGTGCACGCTTAAGGTCACGGCCTGAAGACACCAACAGAACCACATCATCCGCATAAAGCAGGGGCGAGACCCTGAGGTTCCCAAACAAGACAGCCTCCCTTCCAGAGCTGCGCCTTAAGATCATCCACACAACAGGATCATTAACGTTTATGTGATTTAAACATTTTAAAATACAGTATACAGTCATAGATAAATAAATACTGCCTTTATGAGTTTGAATGATTTGTCTTACAAAACATGAATATTGTATATATTCTTTTTATATGATAAACTGTATTACAAAACCACATCATCCGCATAAAGCAGGGGCGAGACC